AGAAGGTACAACGTCTTGCTTAGGTTAAGCCTCAAATCAGAGAAGATTCAAATTTCATTGTAATGTCAACATTTATTCGTGCTTTCTTTTGTCCTCTAAGCAAGTGAGTCTGTTATCTACTAAAACAGCTGTCGCTCGCATTGAACTGGAAAAAGGCTTATTAAAATCCTGTGGGACAAAGAACTTTTGTTTCTAAGAAATCATCTGTGGAATGAAAATATAACGAACAATGAAACTTACTCACGGGTGGTTTGAATTGTGTGGAAACGTTTATAGCAACAAGTTATGAGATTAGGTCTATTGGTTGTGATKTGTTGGTCACCAGGGGTCACTAAACGCATCATGGATCAGWATCATACCTTTTCTTACTAAAAGACGTTGATGGTTTGCCGCGACACCACATGGTCAACTGGGAATGAGAAGATGACATTCATTACTCAATAATCAGACCAATCAATTGTTGCTTAAATAGTGAGAAGATCAATGAAAAAGCAATCAATCGTTSAATCAACTTTAATTAAATCAATGATTGATTATTCTTCATCATTATCATCATGACTATTATACGTTTATTAATGCTAAAACACTAAAACCAAATGCATACAGCACTTTGCAGTATGCACAACTAAAGAGCTAATTCAACAATCGAAAACAATATAATCAGCAGAATTAGTAGTTTTAGCAGAATAATTCAGAAATGAACTTATGCACGAGTGTATGAAGTTTCATTGCCTGAATTCAGTAAATTACTTTCTACCAGGTAGAGTGTCTTTCATATCTGCATAAAATACAATTTAGCGTTCTAAGRTTTACTGCTAATAATTTTAATTAGTACCACTTATTTTAACTTGATCCTAGATCAAAGCTCCCCGAATATGCAAATAAACAGGAGAACCAACAACTTACATGGTAGACAACAGCTAGCAGAAGTCCGATCGAAAGGGTAAGAACAAATGGAAGAATGCTCTCTCGGGCTTTGACCACGCAAACAAATAGCACCAGCACAGCTATCATATTGAGAGTGGCTGTATATGAGGCATTACTAAGGCTTGCCATGGCAACAAGGGTAACCCATAKWGATAKGATAATTGCGTAGAAGTCGCASAGCTGAAGGAAAGAGAYATCCATGACGCAAGCAATCTGTGTCTTGCAGAGATGAAACATCTTAAAGAGAATGAATCAAAACAATTTAGTAGTGAATCATCAAAATTACAATATGCATTTTTGCTTGTTGCAAACTGTGATTATTTATATTACATGCAACAAATCTACAAAGAGTTYATGCGTTGCAGTCACGTATGGCGTCAAGGCAACACGRYMTAATGCTGAAGCCCAATTTAAACCCTCTGGGAATAAAAGYTCTCAATGAACAACACAACAATGAAACTTACTCTTAGGTAGCGTGAATTGATTAAAATTGTTATAGTCGATAATATCTACTTACAGTGGACATGATTGTCAGAAACATATACACCACCATCTCAGGAAAAAGTCTCATTCGTGCTGCTATCACCACGTCCAAAACAAAAGCCAAGTTACTCAGGCAAAGTAAACAAACACTAGCAAGGTCGACGTCAACATCTTTCTCACAGGCCCAACCTGTATAACCGGTTTTACAGGCGCATGTACCATACACCAAGTCAGGTTTTGTGTTGATAGCACAGATACCRTGGTCGTTACAGTCGTCRATACAWCCTTGGATCTCCGMGGTAAGTTGTATGTCATAGGCGTAGTCATAGTAACGAAGCTGGTAAACACTAATGTACCAAGTACCTAATAAGGAAACAGATGTACATATATGGAAAGGTAATTCGTAGACGTATTGCAGTTTATACTAAAAAGTGAACAAGGTTTAAAAATACTGGCAAATCTCTTGTTAGTGTTAAAATTGTTTGTATTGGCAAATTTCGTATTTTACGGAATGGTGAAGAACAAAAAAGATACATATAGGCAAAATGATTTTGCGAGACACAAGGCGCAAAAGAATGTGTTAGATGCATTGCATATTAAATCAGTTGTAAGCACTTTCGCTAGAGGCACAAAATTAATTGTATTTTGCTATCCATAAGATCCTTTCAAAAAGGGTGTTGCTTATTGCTATCGCATTTTTTCCAACAAATTTTGCTTAATCTGCTGTTATCCTCTAAACGGACTTTTTAATTCACCCATGTTTACGGCTCTAAAATTATACTCAGTGAGTGTCAACATTTTGTTTCCGAACTGCCCATAAAGCTAATCCTAACTTAAAAAAATACAGCAATAACATCAACATGCTTACGACACCATTAGAAATTCTTTCTCACTCACTATGCTGCTAAGTACATGTGTGAAGAAAGAAATTGATTTTATTTTATTTTCAAAATCTATTTCTTTCTTCACAGAAGTGCTTGGCAGCGTGTTACCTTTCGGATAAAAGTGATTTTCTAAAAGGTGTCATGTTCACTTTAATACTTAGAAAAATAGCAAATACAAAAACAACMGAACATGAYTGCAAATATRTGCGCTATCAYTACTGCTGGTGTTACCTGTTTCTGGGAATGGTACTACCATTTCCGTACTAACGGAACTACGGTAACCATACTCCTTCAAATAGCTCGTTTGACCAGTGCAATTCATAGTATAATCATTGTCATAGCCATTGTGATAAAATCCTGCAGGAGAATCCTTCTGTAAACAAAGTCTCACACCTGAACCACTGTGGTGGAATGACGGGAAATACGCCGCTCGCACGCTGAGAACTGATCCCACGTAACTTGGAGGGATTGTCACTGAGAAGAACTGAGGGTACCCACCAGAGAACAGACGGACAGTTGMGTTCCACTGATTAGGATATAAGATTTTGTTGAGAACTTTTCCTGATGTTATTGAAAACATTTCTTGGACAACAACACATCCTGGATAAAGGTTACGTGCCTCATGGGGGACCGTGGGCCGATTATCGGGACACTCTGTAGAAGACGACAAAAATAGTAATGCATTACATAGAAGAAAGTAGACATCTGAAAAGTGTACAAAAAACAGAGCTGATGAAATGAAGCCAGGTCTAAGATCATACAGTTGTACACGATTTTTTAACGTGCATATGACATGATTTTTTTTGTTTTGAAAATAAGATCAATATGAAGAAAATAATAGTTCTGTAAAAGTGCCACTGGATGCAGGCTTCTAATTTTAGATTAAAATGGATTTTATGCTAATTTGATGACGTCAACTCATTAATTATACAAAATTGTCCGATTGTTTATTGTCACCTTATTGTTTTGTAGAWGATATTTGTTATGTAATCAAAAACAATCTTTCAAAGTTTGACATCGGTATATTAGGAACATTTGTTACAAAACACAGTTGAAATGTTTTAGAGCAACCAMATCTTGACGTCATCAAATTAGCATAATGGATTTTTAACTCCGATTTTCTCTGAAATTTGAAGCCCTGCATCAAGTGGTAATTAGCCAACCTGTTATGCTTGTTCTATTGATTCTATTTTTCAAATAAAAAAAATCGTGTCATATGCACTTTAACAAGCATCAATCAAAAGTACTACCCACCATCAAGGTAGATGGATATGTTATAGTACACGGTACCACCAATCATGTGAGGTATCCTTGAAGTAGAARCATAGTAATCCACCTGTTCTTGTTCTGGGGTGGGTATTGATATGTAACATGGATTCTTTGAGAAACAGTCCAGTGATAGAGAATCCTTATCACTTGGAAGCGATTTCTTTTCAATAGACAGTGTAAGAGGACAAACGTCCATAACTCTCTCTCCATCTTCCTTTATCAAATAGCAGCCAAAAATAGTAACTGATAGAAACGAGGATTTCTTGAGATGTTGGTACCTGTAATATCTAAGAGAATAGGAATAGAATTAATMAATATTTATAGAATATTTATAATATACACCAATATGCAGAAATTATGATCTTTTTTAACAATATTTCAAGTATATATAAAACATATCAGAAATTATGGGATATCATCGCCAATATTTTTTCAGAAATTTGCTAGTGCTAAGCAACTTCAAAAAATATCAGCGATGATATCCCATAATTTCTGATATATCTTAWACTTGGAACATGAGTCAAARTGATTATAATTAAATTTCTGCATATTGCTGTACTTTGACTTTAAGTAACAATGCGCGCAAAAAGCAGGCAACTTTCTATTGTTCTGCAGCAATTGCAACTTCCCCACATACGAATGTCTTGGTCTTCACACTGAATATATATCAACCTATGGGTAACACATTTTTAAAATAAAATGTGGATAAACTCTGTTTTGAAACAAAGTTTCTTTTGTATTAAAAGATCTTGTCCAATCATAAGCACTCAAAACAATAGCCAAAAGATGCTTCTAATTTGCTATGTTCCCCACATAGAATTGCTATTAATATTAAAGCTAAGGAAAGCTTTTATGAAGTTAGAATCAGATATTGAATAAAATATTAAAAAATGCGCTTACTTTTGAAATTATGTCCGATTTTAATGTTTTAACCAATGAGATGGATGGATTATRCRATACAMAATTAGCACCTTCATGCATTCCATTGCCGTTTGCTTGCCTGCTTCTTACTCGGACCATTACTTAAAATATGCAATAAAACATTTAGTAAAGTCCTCCAATTCGGACTGAACGGGGTTTCAAGTCAAGGCTGGAACTAATTGCAAGGACTTGAAACCCCATCCAATCCAAACTGGAGGACATTGAACGACTTCTCAGGCACAGATCCAGCATTTTATAGGGGGGGGGGGGGGGGTGCTTTTGCCAGCTATTGATTTTTATTAAACAACGTATCTTTGACTACACTACTTAAATAGATTGTTAAGCAGCATAGTGCCAGGGACATGTTGTGTATGCTACTCGTTTTCTCCGTAGAAGTTCATCAGGAGTATAAACAGCAGAAAAATACCTTTATACTGATATATGAAAAAAAATATGTCATCCAAAAAGGGTGGATGCATCTGCACCCCAAGCACTTCCCCTGGATCCGCCCCTGCTTCTCATACTCATTAATTATTCGGAGGGGGAAAAAGCAGAGGAAATACATATAACAGAAATATATTGATATATTGCATCTTTATCTGGTGGAYAGTACTTTTTATTTTTCTTATAAATATCACTATATATAGTCAACTCTTGCGAAAACGAACAACCTCGGGAATGTACTGTGTGCAAAGTAGTGATAGAAATGGGGCTCAGTTAGTTTCATTTCTTCGTCTTTTTTGCCAGGGATTCAATATTTGCTGTTCGTAATATTGAGTTCTCTGTTATATCAAGGTGTCCGTAAGACAAGAGTTGATTGTAATCATACCTTGTTTGRATACCAGAAGGCAGCATATCTCTGATTTCCTTGCCATCTGAAGGAATGAAGGATGCTGTWGTAGCAAGTGTCAGTGTAGCTCTCATTTTGACATTAAAACTACAGCCATGTGTGGTAAGATTGCCAAATCCCTATCAATCATTACCTTAATCAGTCAAATAACAAGATGAAGAGATGAAAGAATGAAAGACTGTATTGAGCAGATGRAAGGTTGGTAAAATGAAATGAATGGYTGAATAAATGATTTAGGGACAATGTTTGGACTCAATTTTTTCTTGGTCCAACAATGTACCCTGCTGCAATTTGGGAACAAAATCTCAAAAAWTTGGGCATAATTGACACCAGTCCTCATATGAARCATAATTTGTAATATATATCTCAGATTTTGATATCMAATGTTAAGGTACTGCTCACTATAACCCTGCACCCATAACAAGGTCATGGTTTTTGCCTTATCCATTAATTAACACTGACGGAGAAATGGAAGAATGAATGACTGKTKRAAKKRA